ATCAAGTAACCGCAATCGACGCATAAGTTTATGATCGATCGCACATGAGGCCCGAAACAACTCATCGCGCGTCTGCAGATTACCTCTCTTTTGCTAGTAAAAACCTATTAATGAAAGAGGTGTAATAAGGCAATGGTAGCCATTAATCTAATAAATTTTAGGTTCATTTGTTTTTATCGGCGAAGTGCAAAAATCAAAGATTAGCGCCGTGTAATTATCAGTCGACGCCTCGTAATTATCACGAGCTCGTCGAAATTAACTAAGATAACGATTTCAGTCTAGATCGTCAAGAAAATAGTGTTCGATTGGGACTCAAGTTTCAACGTTTAGTTTTCCACTTCTTCAGTGGCGGGGAACATGATTTTGTATCCGATCCATCATTCTGAAAAAATGGATATAAATAGAGACGCAATTTATCTTCTGCGTAAATTTTGGTATTTAGACGGTGGCTTTACTCTGAGTCGTGAATTGCACATAATCAGCTGCGAACACCAGAAAAAAAGCTAAGATTAAACCTCACCTCTTAAACAACCACTTCCTAAACATAAAGAGACTTATAGTAATGTGCACAAGTCTACAAGAAATGGCAGTCAAGCACAGAACATGAGTAAACAAAAATGAACAGATATATCGGCAATTCAACGAAATCCAAGGTATTCCATCATAATACAATTCTGTTACCCTGTAACATCTCATATAATCTCCAATCAATCCCTTTTTACAAACCGGATGTCTTGTTGGATGGTGAGTAAAGACTTAACCGTAAACAGGGTATCATATTTATAACGAAAAAGTAAACCAAAGTAGTGCAAAGCTGATTGTTCTGCAAAATTAAGTGGAAATACTGCCTCAGAATAAATTTCTCTGAAGTTCTCTCTTGTGTTGGAAAATATTAGTATATTCAATGAGATATGCAGAATATTGTTTACGTGACGAAAAATGCGGAGACTAAGTCAGGAGATCTGACATCAGATAGGTGCCTTGGCAGAGCATGACTCAACCTCACGTCTCAACAAGGAGAAACAAGAACGACGGTTGAACTGCGTACAACTGCGTTGGCTTCGACGCATAATGTAGAACAACGTCAGGAAAGACTAATCTGCTGCGAGCACAGGTGACCTCAGTAGCTGTGGTGATTAAAGAAGGTTGACACTGCTAGACAAAGTGGCTGAGCATATGCCATTTACTCCAGCCCACGAGCTTCTCGTGTGAGGGTCGAAATATGGCAGCATCGACCAGGTGGCTAGCATGTAACATGGAGGAATAAAGTAGTGGCAGATCTGCTTTCGGAGAGGAATTGTTCCTCCTACGATGCACTAACCGACCGATGCCTTGCAACAAATATTGAAAAGCTGTGACTAAGCGGATAGTGACGTTCTGCATATGTAACGACTCAACGCGAAAGTTTCAACAAACAGAACTTACTCAACAAGAACTGTTCGACATTGAAAGAACTTAGAATCTGCATGTTTCTGTATAGTTAGCTAGAAAGGCAATCTTCTCAGATACTTTCGATCCTGCAATGCTACGAATTCGGAGTTCAGGTACATGGGTTTTGCGATATTCGAATATCTGATGTTAGTCTCCAAAATAAGTTCCTACCTAACTTTCGCAAAAGTCTATTTACTAAAATATCTTTGCTGGGAGAAGAAATTAGGGCCATTTATTCACCCATGGCAGTGTATAATGGACATCAAGTCTGAAAATATAAATCATGAATAAGTGAAACAGTGAATAAAGATGGCGAGGAAGAGGGACATGTGTTACGAATGCCTCCAGAAAGGAAGGCTAAGCAACTGTTTCTTGAAACCAACCGGCAGAAGCCCCAGGGGACGGCCAAGATTAACCTAGTGCAAATATATGGGAGTCTGTTCCAGACTCCAGTTGTCTTCTGCCGAAGCCCAGACTCTGGCACAAGATCGGGAACGTTGGAATCTGTCTGTCGACCCTGTCTAAGCGACCAAAAGGAGAAACGGCTATGGAAGATGAAGATGAAGGAAGAGGGGCATCGACCTATATGAAAAATTAGATTCTTCAACTCATCCTATTCGTTCCAAGTAAGAAATTCTTCTACCTGCTGAGAGGCTAGACTAAGCATTTCTTCTTAGGGATAAATGTGAACAGCCGTCTGCCAGTTTCCGCCCGGGTTGGTAATCGGAGCATCCTTCGCCCAGACACTGATGCATAAGATCAAGCAACTTGGACTATAGCTACTCGGTAGCCGACCGGCCATTTCGAAATTCACCAGTTTCCAGAAAAGTTGCTAATTAACTGCTATTCACCTTGAGCAAAAGATTCATCCAAGTGCGCTCCGGTCAATAGTCTACATTGGGCAGTAAATTACTGACTTGCGAATATTAGGGAGGACACTATTATTGGTTTACTGCTGTGGTCAATTCAGAGCGTGCAATATATATGACCAGGCATTCTTACGCGTGCGCTTCACGGTTGCAGTTCGCCCTAGCCTAACTAAAAGCCGATTAAAATATGTGCAAGGTGTCACACGTAAATTTGAAAAAAGTCTGACGACCTCAGCGGATAGGATAAATACATTTCATCATATCTCGCTCTGATGGACATTATTCTGCTGAGGACGCAGTTCGACCTCTAAACGAGGGCCGGAAGCTAAATTCACGAAACAATACTTTCCTGAAAAACAGTTCCGTCTTCCGTTCTTTCATCAAAGAGCGAAGGAACGTTGGAATAACGTCATATTAACCGGTGGCATGGAAAATTCACGCCAATGCTCTATCTTGCATTTATATTGGAAGACAGAATAATTAGTTCGGTGACCCTAAGGCGTCTTGCAACCATTTCGTACATGTGCACGGAAAAGAAGGATCCCATGTTACGTAAGCGGAGGACAGACTTAGATGCCATGCTCTGTCAATGGTGCGTGAGCCACTGGGTCCATGCTGTTCGGATGCAAGTACCAACGAACTGTGAAGCGAATTCCTTGCTCAACGTAATTATTAGCAGTAATCATCGAAACTTCCACACGATTTCTTCACTCAAACGCATACTCAATACGGTTGTAGGTTACCAGCTTAAAAAACAACAGAGAAAAAACACCAGGTCCAACGCTAGAATTTGGCAAGTAAGGTAATACCACATCGATATTCTAACATTCGCCAGATTCGTTGATTAAACTGTTTGCGTACAACCGTGAAAAGCACGCATTTTACTTTATTTATTTTACTTCAGCCATCTTCGTCCTCAGTATAAGGACACGAACAACTTTTATGACTAGCGGTTAAGTCGAACTTCGAAACCCAAAAATCGCACGCAATTAAAAAGATGATCACTGGTGCTTATGTGATGAGTTATACGAGTTGAAAAGTTTATGTACAGAATACTGCCAAAAGCTCTGAACAGAAAGCAAACGTGCTTCGTACACTTCGTAATCTCTAAGCATCGAGGGTACGCTCCCGAAACGTCGTAGACTTTGGTTGGGCAAAATTCAAGCATATGCACTAATTCATTGATTCACTAAGCTATATCATATGCAAATAACGGACATACGAAAACCGAGAGACAGTTATACGCATAATGAGCATAATGAGGGAGGAAATATTTTTCAGGCAAAATTATATATAGTTATGCGAGACAAGCGATTACGAAACAGTTTACATTTCCTGTAAACACTTTCACACCCAACTTAATCCCTGGGACATGGCGAGATATTATAGCAAAGTTGCATATTTTAATCGCAGATTCTAACGATTTCGGGAAAAATTTCGCTTCACCCACCGAACGCTGTAAATGGAAGCATTAAACGCGCGCTGCGCCGTACCTCCAACGAGCTACCGTCTGATGCTAACGATTTTCAGGTTGTAATTTTCTCCTGTACAGTCTTCGAATCATCAGTTTTTCGCCGAATAACCCTTTTAAAGGATATCGTTGTTATTTACGTTTAATCAACAGTTTTCCAGATGAATGACTTCATATTTGTTTGAAATACTTTTTTTGATCGATAAATTTGTGTTGTTTATTGTTGCGGTAAAACTGATGTTCCTCCTCCTCTTACATATTTCACCTGCTAGAGTCATAATCCTTCCCTACTACTGTGGATTGAGAACGGAAGGTAGACAACGTACTTCACTCTCGCCCGTTGTTTGATCATCGTATTTGGGATATATATCCGATAGCTACCTGAAGTCAGAGTCTTCTAGCCTGAAAATTTAGAAAAACTTGTTCAGACAATCGCCATCTACGTTTGGTGGAGATATGGTGGGCGGGAGGGGGAGGGTATTACATCGTTCTTTCCGGGATAGACACCTAGAAGTCTGCGGGTTCAGTCATTTCGCGCATCTACCCATTTCAGACTAAGTGATTAACTAACGAACAGCAGGTAACATAGTGATTGTGAAGTCCTCTTTCGAGACGTTACATCATACTCATTATTTTTACTGAATTTTTGATAAGAAACCTCATTTATGTTTTAAATCGTTGTTCTTTGATTCCGCTAAGAGTTTTGTCTTAGCCTTAAAGACCTGTCAGAAACCCTAAAACGGTTAACGGAAGAAGCGAAAGCAATCATAGTTTAACAGATAGTCTTATCTTATTCGGCGATTTTGCCCATAAAGGGAAGCGGCACTGACTGTACTGTACCATACTGGGTGAGAGTTGGAGAACATAATCCCCAAAGGAAACGTATATTTCCGTCATGCAGCCTAATTTCAGAACAGGCAATGTCAATCCTTTCATTAGACGAATGCACTGGTGACGGACAACACTGGTGACGCCTGATAGATGATGTGAAGAAAGGGGAAGGAAATGTCCTTCGTACTACTTGGGCGGCCAAGACCCCAAAAAATACCCCTTAATATTGCTGCCCAAAGCATGTATATGAACATAACATATACATGTGCTGAAAGATAGCCATG